ATGTTGTTGCCAGATTCTATTATGCAGCTGTCTTCCTTATCACCTTACACTGCCCAGGGCTTTTTATAGTTCTCTGCAATTCAGGCTCCAAATAGCAAGACCAGGAAAAGAGCCAAATGGGAGAAGTCAGTCTCTGTGACTCTCAAAATGCTGTGGTTTGTGTCTCCAGTCCTTTCATGGTATTGTGACCCCAGGGATCAAATAGCAACCTGAAACTAGCTGCACTGCTATGCAGGGAAATCCCCTGGGCAACCACCTCTATGGGGTGGGATTGTGAAATAACTACTTTCTGCAGAGCCCACAGCTATGACGCTGCTGGAAAGAGATTTCACAATTGCATTAAACTGCTTTGGAACTTTTTCACCCTCTGATACATTTTTCTTGGAGCCTTTTTTAATGGGAGAGTTTCTTTCCTGTAAGTGCTGATTTCACAATTGCAGCCTTCAAGCCAACTCTGGTAGTCAGGCTTGGGGAAAGTAACTTGCTTTCCGGAACAAGACAACTTTTCCGTGGATGCCTTAGTGCAGATCTGTTGGACCCCCCCGTTCCTATTCCTGATTGATTATTGATTCCATGTCCCTGTTTGCCCCTAGACACTTGGAAAGAAGCACCAGTGGGTGACCCAGCATCACTTGCTATATACATGCTTCTGGATCTGTACATCTCTACTGCCTGAGGTTAGCACTGGCATGAAGAAGGCTGGCTGCTGCAGTGGAACATTTTCCTTGGTCTCTCTAAGTGAGTGTGAGGATAGCCTTAGAGAGAGGCCAGAGCCCAGTCCTAGAGGGGAGAAGACCATAGGGCACAGGAAGATGTGGATGCTCTTCTCTGCAGGCTTCAGAGCACAGGGATGGTGCTTCTCATCTAGTCACAACTCTGCCTGTTACTTTACTCTCACACAGGAGACATGCAGACCAAAACCAGAAAACTGAAAGTGAAGTAGTGCAAAATGGACAATCTTTTTATCTTAAAGTACAAACTTTAGATGTGGAGATAGAAGCTTTGCATTGGCAGGGCAGAGACAGCTGTCTCCCTGCAGTATCCATCAAAATCCCTGTAGAAGGTTTGCATGGCAAAGCTAATCCTATGTTCACCAAAGATAATGTAATATTTTTCCTCTGCTGGCACCATTCTGGCAACCACTGCTAGTGCCCCTGCCGCACCTGTGGTCCTTGTAAGCAGTCTGCTCACCAACCTCCAGTCTGCTATGGGAGGGGCTGTAGAAAACAGTTCTGGGTTGTGTTGTGCTTCAGCGTCCACCCAGAACACTTTGTGATCCATTCCTACCCCTGGAATCCAGGGGTGAAAGCTTGTGGTTGTGGCAGCTGCTAATTCAGGAACAAACACATCATTATAGAAAACAATATGAAATTAGGGGGATTTTTTTACTTCCTTGAATCAAGCCAGCGGATAGGACTGGAGCTGATTTAGCTAGGTGTGGAAGGCTGGTCTGTTTCCTTGGTGTCTTCATCCAAGAGTAGGTCCTAGGCCCTTGCAGTGTATAGGAGAACAGAACGATGGGAAACTATCGTTGAAATAAGTCACTGAATAGATTAAATAGGGCATAATGTAAATGGAAGCAAAAATACTGTGTTTAATGTATCTGCACTCAGTTTTGAACCAGGACAGCATAGGTGCTATAAGAGGAATAGGCTGAGTAGCTGTCTTCTGGCAAATTGGACCCTTGCAATGTGATTTACATTGGGTACCTACAAATACCTAGTTGCTTTTGAATTTTGCCCTGTATACATAATATAAAAGTATGCTAATGTCACTGGAGCTGGTTACAACTTGGAATTTACATTTGGGGAAATTCTCATGTTTTGAAAGTTGCTGTTCTCAGGAAAGGAAACTCCCAATATCTTTCATTTTGGAAAAATACCATTTGGGTTCCCCCTTTTTTTTTTTTTTTCCTGAAATGGGGCATCAGAGCTTCAACCTGATGTTTGTGAGTCAGTGCTTCTGGGCGACCTGCTGTGCTGCAGGGAGCCAGGAGGCCAGGGAGGTTGCAGTTGGCCAGATAAGCAAGCAGGAACTCAGGCAGGGTTTCGCTTGCAGAACGTCATGCCTTCCATTAACAAAAAATCAGCTTGAACAAATCTCCATTTTCCCTTGAAACTGCTTTTTGTTGGGAAACCAATGCTCGTTACTCAGTTGCTTAATGGAACTGACTGGAATCATGGGATATGTCACCAGGCATGAAGGCAGCTGCATTTGTAGAAGTGTCCTGTGGCGATGCCTCATGCTGGCTGGTATGCAGCATTTGGGCTAGTTGGGAACTGCCGGCTGGCTCCTGCCTCTAGGACAAAACCTTTGAGCTCTGGCCTCCAAGATGCGTTCTCTCTCCTGGGTGGAAGTAAGGGGGAAGAACTGATGTTCTGAGAAATGAAGGGGTTTGCTGGAGGGCATAGGATGAATCAGAAGGGCAGAGCCAGGGCTGGGATTTAGGTTGCCCTGGCTTCCTCATCAGTCCTTCGCATCATACTTTTCCTCTTTCTATTTTTATTCCAAAGATTAGAAATACAAAGCCTTAAAGAATACCGGCTGCTATATTTATAGTCAAGGGGAGGCTGTACCTATTTCCAGCTGCGGAAATGCTCTGAATGGTGACATTTTTCTTCCTCCTACAGGTCTTACTTGAGAGTCAAGAGTAATTAAAAGCAGCTCCCAGAAAAGAATCCTGCCTCTGTCTTTTACCTTCTACATAAAAAATTGTATGTTACTGTGCAAAAAAATGAAAATAAGCCCCCGTCACACTCTGGTTCTCATTGATCTTTATATAGCAACGCAAATGCTATACTTCTAGCATGGGCTCACTCCTCCTCTCAGTGCCAGCCTGCTTTAGTGGGAGTCTTCCAGAAATGGGCTGTGTGTGAATAGCCACTGCATCCCTGGTGCTTTAAGAAACTGAATCAAAACCCTGCGACCTGCTTTCGGCTGGTGGGGTTCTGCCAGTCGCCCCTTGAAACTGAGGAGATGAGAAATGGCGCTTGCACACCAACAGCAAAGCGAACACAAGTACTTTAAACAGAAAAGGTTGCTTTAAAAATTGGGATGTGCCTTTGCTTCAATGTGTGCAGGCCATAAGGAGCTAATGTTTTGAGTGGCCCTGTGTTAACTGGAGCTGGTCCGTGAGGTCAATTGCACTTCTGCAATGTGGTATTACAGCACTTCAGGACAGTGTTATGAGCATCACATACACCTCAGTGCTCCTGTTTCCCTGTAGACCTCCTGGATGTGCCAGGATTTACAAAAGACTGACCCTCTCCCTTTCTCCTTTGAGAAGACAAGGCATTATCAGATTTCCTTCTATATTTTGAAAGAAGCTTAATATAAATAAAAGCCTTTTTTTGTTTCTTAGAAAATATCCATTCCATCCTTACACCATAGGAAACATGTTAATTGGGAGGAGAAAGAGCTTCAGACTGAAAACACATTCGTTCACAAGTTTGGGCACTGCAGAGACAGGGAAGGTGGTGGGGGCGGCCCAGTACCCAGTTCTGGTATCTTGTGCTACGCAGGTAATCATCTCTGTGACTTGCTACGCCCATGTGACTCTGAGTACAACTCACTGTTACATTTCTCTGCATAGACTGTGCACACACTGGGTGATGGGAATTAGGTGTCTTTCCATGTCTGGAAGCTAGTTCTGCTTTTAATGTAAAGCCTCCTAAAACTTCTGTGCTTCAGGGAGCTGTGACCCAGCAGCCTTCCTGAGTCATGTGTGCTTGCATCACTCTTGTTTGAATGGTTGCCACATTGAGGGTGGCATGTTCATGGAGGTAGCCTGGAACAGGTAGTGAGAAGCAGTCATTATGTGTAAGAATACAGTAATTATCCCAGCACAGATCCCAAAAGAGAAAAAGCTACACTGGAATCTGATCTGTAAGGCAAGTCACATTCTGCTGCTGGCCTTCATAAATGTTGGCTTCTCCTGAGTCACCTCATTACTACACGAGCAGTTGTATATGCTATGCCTGCCCACAAAGATGTTTGTAGCTGGGCTTACGTTCATAGAGTCCCACATAAGATACAACTACCTTATCTGCATGTTCAGGTTTGAGGGCCCTTCCACCCCTCCCCATCACAAAATACAACAGAGCTTCAGACATCATCCTCTAGCAAAGCACATCTCCTTTAACTCTAGTTCTGCCCCTGCAGCTCCAAAGAGAGCATGGCAGAGATGCCAGTTCCTTCCTGGAGTCACTCAGTGTTTGAAAACGGCGGGTAAACCCTTTTCTCAGTGCTGTCTCGTGTGTTACCAAATAATGAACTTGAGTTTCAGCGCTGGGTAGTTGTAGACATTTATACATAAATCTGCTGGGCCTTACTACTGGGCATAGTCGAACTTAGGTAGGTTGTGCTTTCTCTAGTCAGTGGAACCAGTTCCTCCTGCTTGCAGGCGGACCTGGCCTTGGGCTGTGAGCTGCTGGTCTCTCAAACTGTGGGTAATTGTGATTGCCATGTGGATGTGGGACTCCAGGCAGAGTCGAACATGACAGCGGTGATTCAGACAGGAAGTTCTGGTAGTTTGGACCAGCATCTTACCTTGGCGTGTTGCCAGAGGTGCAAAAGACAACATGTCTCTGATGTGACTAAATACAGTTGTCATGGCTGCTTGTGGTCCTTATAAACCTTGGTTGAGATGTTGAGAGCACTGCAGGAGACCGAGATCTCTGTTGTCAGTTACCGATATTTCACTGTGACAAAAGATGACTAAATCCTCTGCACTATATTTGACATCTTAGTGCCAGTGAATTTCCACCCCCATCAGCGTAGGTGTCATTTTAATGTCCTGGCCAAGGAACAGTTGTATAATTGCACTTTCCTTCCAATTTCGGCTGGGATACAGTGTCATCACTACCAGCCAAATCTGGCTAAGTGTTTTGTGCCTTGTTAAGCTGTCCATTAACTAAATGAACCCATGTATACAGCTTGCACTGTTTCAAGGGGGCATGATAAGAGATGTAAGGACTGACTGGGACTTCCAATTTCTCTAGGGATATGGTAGCTGAAGCACTGCTGGAGGACGGCTTTCTCATCCCAACGGTGGAGCACCTGGAGACTTTAAATATCAAGTGTGATGGTGAATGTCTACTTTATTTTCTCTACTGAATTGTTGGCCTCTCTAAAAATCCTAACTCACAGGTTTCCCAGTGGGTGGTCTCTGGTTTCCCAAATTTTATTACAGTGGCAGAGCTTTATTGTTTTGCTTGATGTGCACTCTTTTATAGCATCTTTTTAGACAAAATAGCTCTTAATTATGTGGGAGTTGAGCTTAAGTTGGCAAAGGATGAGCAAAACAGAGGTAGGTTTTCCTGTGGTTTATGGCATGATTCGATCAGGCATCCTACTTTCTGCTTTTGCTGAAATATTGTGTTATCCATTCATTGCTTTTCCTATTTCTTCTTTTGTTATGATTCTCAGTGAGAGTAGGGTGCCTGGAATAAGTGCAGGACTACTGAACTCAGTACCTTTTGACCCAAGCACTGCACCAATTGTCATGTTGAAAGTATTTCTGTTTAACTGTAATTTCTTTTATATAGAAAACAAAGAATTGCTGGACATCCCTCAGATATTTTACTGTTTCTGGCAGCCTCTGCTCAAGGGCCTCCATTCCCAAGACTTTACGCAGTCCTTGATAGAGAAAATGTTTGCTAACCTGAAACAGTGCTCCGAATCTTCAGAACTCCGGTCTCAGTACCTGATCAACTGGATTGCTGAACTCTTGACTGCAAGCACCAAAGTTAAAGCCAGTGAGTGAATACCTTCAGGTTTACTGAAACTTTCAGGTTTAAGATCCTCTCCTGTACAGGCTCAAGAGAGAGAAAGTCAACAACACTTGCAAGCTGCAAATGCAGGGATCCTAATTATTAAAGACTCCGTAAATTTATAATGGCTTTCCGGATTGACAACTGAAGACAACTGCATTCAGTCCACTGCAATGGATGGAAATAATTTTTATTCAAAAATGCATGACGGCTTCATTAAGACTTAAAAACGTGGTGATTTTCCCAGGGTGGGAGCATAGAATTGTGGAGAAGATGGGCTGGAAGGGACCTTGGGATCTAGTCCAACCCCATGCTCAAGGCAGGATCATCTGTATCCAAACTATCTTATTACAAATCCAAACTATCCTATTACAAACACTTGTCTAGCCTATTTTTAAAACTATACAACCAACTCTGCCACACAGCTACCTGGCACATTTCCCAAAACCTCAGACATCATCACCTGCCACAAGTAAAGCAGGGGGATGAGGGCACTTTCAGTGTCTTGCCACTATAAGGACAGAAGGTGGTAGTTAAAAATACACTTGATAGAACTAAGAGGAACATGTCCTCACTGCAGAGAAAGACAAAAAAACCCATAGTCCATTCTGATCTGACGCGTGCTAAAAATCCTTGATTCCCAGATGTGGCCTGACCCTGAGTGGAGGTGCAAGAACCTCTGGGTTTTTTTAGTCCCGGCAGGAGCTTTGGCACACCCCAGTCAAAACCCCCCAGTCTTGGCAGCAGGTAACGCCCAGTTCTTCTGAGGAATGTGAAAAAACCCCTTGATACCTCTAGCAACAAGAGGGGAAAAAGTCCTCCCCAGTCCCATGTGGAAGCCAGCAAAGCTCAGAAGAGAGAAAACTAGACACTCCCCACCCTGCTGTGCAACCCAGGGACCATAACCTGGCTCTAGACAGGTGACATCTTGACTGGAGAGCTAGCATTCCCTTTTTTGTCATCCTACCCCTTCCATGAATTTATCCTGGTTCCTTAAATCTTTAAATCCTGCAAACTAGAGATATCAAAACAAATCTGCGCTGTGTTTTGCTCTGGAAGCAGCTGCATTTTGAGGTTTGTCTACACTAGAAGAGCTGCTGCTCTTCCAGCTATGCCAGCTTTGTTATGTGGGCAGAGTGCCCTTGTAGAGATGCAGCATATGCCCACAGGAGTTGTTTTTGCACAGCTATACCACGTCCCTGAATGACATAAGGAAAGCAAACAGAAACCCCTTTCTGTCTCCATAGTTGTATCCATGCCAGGGGTTTCATTTGCATAGCTACATAGGCTGGAGGGTGTGGTATGTGTTTCGTTCCCTCCAAAC